GGTACAGGACAGTTCGGGGAAGAATCCCGGGTCAGCATGGGGAGAGAAGTAGCTCTCTTGGGGAGGGGGGCAATGACATGCAGCAGCACAGGGCAAGGTGCAGGAGGCTTTGCGTGTGCTGGGAGGGAAAAACAGCTCAACATGGTGGTGGCCTGTGTGCTGAGGGTTGTGTAGGCTTAGCTAGCAGGGCCGAAGAGGCTTGTCTGACTTTGCTAGGTGAGACGCTGAAATTCGGTTAAGTGCTTGCAGGTTTTATGAGCCACAGGAAATGCAGTACTCCGTATATATACCACTTCTGTATGCTCTTTACCATCCAGCCATGCTTTCCTGACCAGTCTGAGTTGCTCTCCCTTACAGTCCTGCTGCTGTTTCTAAGCTCCTCAGCTCCAAATGCTCAGCCTCTTCCTTCACCACTGCTTCAGTTTCCTACACAAAGAAAGCTTAGTCAAAGAATTGTGGAGTTTAAGACTAGATGGCAACATAACGTTTTCTAGTTAATTTTATATATTGCAGACCATTACACTTTACCTCATGACACATTTAATGATTTCAGTAACATATTTGGTTAAATATATTTTACAGCAAGCATCCTTGCTTGATTTGAAAACTCATGGGATAGAAAATCTGCCCATTCCCTTGGTAGCATATTCCCAAGGCTAGTAGTTTTCATTACCAAAAATGGTTTTTCTCTCTAAACTGAGTTTGTATGAATTCATCTGCTATATAGTGGTTCTTACTATGCCATTCTCTCCCAGATTAAAGCGAGAGATTCTGTTGGCTCCCCATGAGGATACTTATATAATGTGAACAAGTCATCTCTTCATCATCCTTCTGATAAACTAAGCAGACTGAGCTCCTGAAGTGTCTCTACAGAAATTTATCTAACTTTTTTTTTCAGCTCTTGTTTGTGCCTTCACCAGTTTTTCAACATGCTTTTAAAAATGCATTTTTAATATTGGACTTCTAGCAGGCACATTCTGAAGTAAAAGCATTTCCTGTTGCACACCCAAGAATTGAATTAGCTATTCTTGCTGCAGCATCACATTGAGGAAGCATTCTTCCTTGCTTCTCCACAGTAACTCCTCAGACCTTCTCGGGACATAGCTCTCATTCTGTAGATAAGTCCTGTTTCACTCCGAGACATGAAATTTTGCAGACATTCTGACAGGGATCGCATTAGAGGACAAACCAGTCTGCTGTGTTTGGCCATCCTTTTCTCAACCTACTAATTTAAGTCATGTTCAAACTATACTGGCAGAGATTCTATGTTTACTTCCAGATTTACTCACTGAGGAAAACCTTGAAGCACATGAGGCCTAACAGCAATTTCTTCAGATCCCTGCCAACTGCTGCCATGACTAGTCCATTAAGTACTTTCAGAGATCTGTCAGCCAGGTCTGAATCCATTTACTGCTCCATGGCTAATGTACGGTGGTAATGCTTTAAACAAATGTCACTTGGTGTTGTGCTAAAGCCTCTAGAAACACTTGAACACATTGCTCCGTACAGCTACCTCTGTCAAACAATGTGCAATTTTAAAAATTTAATCTGTCCTGTGTTGGTGGTGGTTTTCTCTTTTTCTTTTTTATTTTATTTTTTTTTTTAGCAAGGCTGAGCATCAGTGGCATAGTATATTTGACATGTGGCCCAATGCTAGGAATTTGTTCTTTGTCCAAGCCATCTGTTGTATGTAATACAATGACAATACATATATAATACATATAGAGCTTCATATTCATAGGGTTTTTACACCTAGTGGAAATGTATGCCATGAATGGGCTTATGCAGCATGTTCTGAGAAAGGCAATCTTGCTTCAGATGATTCAGGCTATCTTTGTAGATTACAATAGTAACTTCTTAATACTGTGTATATTACAGGGGTTTTCTTTCTTCTCAACTTTAATACCTTCTTAAAGCTAAAACCTTGGGTCATAGAAGTTAAGATGTTGATCTTTTCTCTGAGCAAAGGTTCATCTTTCATTGAACTAACTGAAAAGCAGGGCCTGACTAAGAATATTTACAAGTTCAAGTTCTTTTGTCCATAAGCTTCTAAAGAAAATCTGACTGCATGTTTTTCTCAAAATCCGTTGTAGAACATTAGTTTAATTTCTGACAGTTTTTTCATCTTCACAGCTTGAAAAAAAAAACAGATGAAGCCTAATAACTTGTGATACAAGTGCCACATTTTTGCTGGACAAGCAGAAAGGTTTTAAACTTGGAAATAGCAATTGGAGTTATTCAGTCTCTTTTATGGCAGAGGCTGTACTGCTTTGGAGATCCTTGTTTTGGCTCAGTTGTCAACAAAAACAATAGAGATTAATACAAAGAAACGAACACTTCTTACTGCCATCTTCAGCTTTACTGGTACCAGCTTATAGCCACTGCATGGATGGATTGATGGTTGGTGAACACAGGAGAACTGATCAGTTAACAGTGTTTTGTCTTCAGCTACTGAACTCCAGTGAGCATGTTCTGGGAGCACGTGCAGCCATCGAAAACAGTCTTTTTGAGGCCCATAGCTCTAGACCAGTATTCACATTTATTGGCACCCCACAGGGATGGAGGGTGAGTGGTGGATGCAATCCACAAACACTGGATGCAGTCAAGCACAGGGCCAGAGGGCTTTCCTGCTTTATGCTACTTTCACATCTCGTGTTTCTTTCTAAGCAACATTTTCTAATCTAACATCCATGGCTGCCTTCTGTGGGCACTTACAGATTGGCAAGATGCTCTTTTGCAAAGCCAACTGAGGAAAAAAAAGCTGTGAGCTGTGTGAATAATTAAAAACAATACCAAAAGGCAATTGTTCCATAAGACTTTGGGGATAAATATCTTTTTGACTTGTTTGCAGACCTATTTTATTAATACAGAGCAACTGGTCTGAGAACATTCTTCATGGCTTACCTCTTTAGACTCATCAATCTTCTCTTTTTCTGCATCCATGCTTTAGATAGACTGTAGATAGCCCTGCTATAAGTTGCTGCTTACAGTGGATTTAATGAGTTTTGTGGAGAGAACTATTTTTGTGAAGATAAGTATTGTATTAAATTAGTATTTAAAAAGGAGGCAGCTATGGCTAATCATACCTCTGCAGGGATACAAGCCAAAAAGGTCTGATCCCTGTTAAAAAATAGATCTACCTTTATAAGAATGCATGCAGAGGAAGGAAAATTTATGAGGGGTTTTTGGTTTCATAGGTCCCCTTTTGTATAAACTAAACATCTACAATACCCATCAGATTTTCACTTTCTCCCTGCATACCTGACTGACATTTTTCTTACCAGCAGTGTGGCAGAACCAACACGCCAGTGAGAGGGTTTCTTTTCAGCTACGTGCCTCCCCAGCACGGGTACTGGTGTGGCTCTCACCACGGCACGGCTGGTGTTTGGGGTGCGAGGGCAAGCAGAAAACCACCCAGCCTTGTCCTCTGTGTTCCAGGGTGGAGTTTGAAGAATGAGCTCTTCAAAGATTATTTTTGACTTCTAAACTGAACCTATTTGGTACGAAAAGGTACAGAAGAGCACTTACACGCAGTCTCAAAATGCAATTTTTGCTGTCCAATGTCAGAAATTTGTAACTCATCCTTAAAAGGTCACCCTGATCCCAACTGCATTGCCTCGAAGAGGTGACAGTGTACCTGATAAATTGTAGATATTTCCAAGTTTCCAAAACCATGAAGAGGTATAAAATGCATATAAGGTCCTAGCAGCCTATAGCCATGAAAGCTCTCTTCTCCCTCTCCCTCTCCCTCTCCCTCTCCCTCTCCCTCTCCCTCTCCCTCTCCCTCTCCCTCTCCCTCTCCCTCTCCCTCTCCCTCTCCCTCTCCCTCTCCCTCTCCCTCTCCCTCTCCCTCCCTCTCCCTCCCTCTCCCTCTCCCTCCCTCTCCCTCCCTCTCCCTCTCCCTTTCCTCTATTTTATTTTACCCTATTTTAATTATATTTATTGATTTATTATTTTGTACTTCTGTTTTTACTCAAGTGGAGAATTTAAGCCACATACAGAAAACTAAGTGGATGTAAAGTAATGGGGGGTCATAGTGTGTGCTGAATATCAAACAATTAGAATAATGTATCAGAGATTTATATCTTTCCAGAGCAAGCAATTTTTAGACAGGAGTCTGTCCTGATTAAATAATGAATAAATAAAATACACCTCTTTCCCCACTGTTTGTGTCTAGAAGATACTGAAAGTCCTAGACCATTTCAGAAGTTTGGGCACACCATTGATTCACTTGGGTTTTGTGATGAGGCCAAAAAGAAAAAGGGAAAAAAAAAAAAAAAAAAAGCCTGGGAAACCCTATAACTGTCCAGTCTCAGTGGTTTTGTTACTGCGCCAAAATAAGGGGTCAGGGCATAATAGCACTAGAAAAGCTTACTTGCTGTAGATTTTACATAACAAGTTCCCAGCTTCTCTCATTCAGCCTGTGCCTGGTTCTGCAACCAAGGCAGCACAGAGAACAGATTTCAGCTGTAAACATGTCAGTGGGAGAGCTTGTTTTTCTTTGGTAAATTGCAATAGATTCAAGAAATGCCTCATTTGGGAAGGGGGCAGAAAGCAAAACTGTAAATGCTAAAAAGAATCTCTCAAAATATCCTGAAATATTCCCTCTCTTTCTCCATGGCTTGCTCAGAAAGGTATGGGTTTGGCAAAATGGCATCTCCTGCTTCCAGTTGAAGTATGTTTAGGGTATCTTTTTATACTAAAAAGGTGTTGGGCATTGTTTCCTAAGAATCAAGTTCTTCAGCCACACTTAAGAGTCGCCCTTAGGGCCAACCTGCTTTTCAGAGGTGGCCCTTGCAGCTCCTATTGATGTCCCTGGCAGCAGTGGTTGCTCAGCCCACCTGAAATGTTTTGCCTGCTTCCTCCCACTGCTGACTTGCAGACTGAGTAGCCTAATGTATATCAGCTCAAGCTGGAAATTTCAGTCTTGGCATCACTTTTGAGTAAAGCAAGGCAGAAAATAAATTATGAGCCGGATTCTGCTTGGTAACAGCACTTACCTTGGGGGAGCTTCTGTGTGCAGGGGCAGCACAGTGTCCTGGACCCACTGCAGCCAGTCGACTGGAGACAGCCGAAAAGATTCAGGGAGAAATGAGAGAAGGGAATTTGTTGGCAGCATGGCTGAGACACAGAACAATTTTGTCGAACTCTGGTTCTGTTTGTTTTCCCTGCTATTCAGGAGGACCTGCAGGGATCATGAGGATTTTGAGAAACATCATCCTCCCCTGGAGCTGAGCTTTTGCTGTGCTGCAGTCTTAGGGTGCGTTCATCAGACATATAATAGCAAAACAGCAATTTCTTATTGTGTGCTGTCACCTCCAGGCACAATTAACATTTCCCCTTCTCATTAGAGGCTTTCCCTCTGTCCTTTTTCTGGTTTTGTTTTTCTTCTTTTTTTTTTTTTTTATTTTTTTTTTTTTATTTTTTAAGAAAATAGCAGAAGTCACTGCAAAGGTGACAGCTGATGTCTGTGGCTTGGAGCGCGTTATAGGTGGTAGCACCATGACTTCCTTGAAAGCAGAGAGATGGTGCAAACCGTCGTCCACTTCCCCCCCTACCAAGTTCCCTACTAGGGAACATCCCCAAAACCTGTAGCTGTACCCATAATCAGAAGCAGGAGTAGGTGCCCAAACTGCAGACCCATAGACCCGGCAGCATAAGTCCCAGGCAAGCTAAAGAAGCAAAAAGAAAACCTCTGCAAGAGGTAAACTTGCAGTCCCTGCAAGTAGCTGAGATTCATTTGAAATAATTTTGTGGCTCTGCAACATGCTAATTAAATGTTTACATGCCTATACAGCATATGATATCTTTACTGCCATATTCATTCTCTGCTATAGCCAGAGATGTAAACAGAGTTAATCAAAGTTCTGTCTGAACATCCCCAGTGATTGGAAATCTGTTTCTTTGGAGAGTATATATCTTAATACACATTTAAAATCCTTAAAGAAAAATGCAGGACTTACTTAACCTAAGTAGTTCCCACTACCTATGTTGAGAAACATTTGGCTGAATGTTATGAGACTCACATATATATATACTGTGTGCATGCATGTGCGTGCATTTATGCATGCATTTGTGCAAGTTTGTAGGGAGGGAACTGCTATGTAGTTGAACGGAGCTCTCTGAACACACATTGTTTCTCAGATTAATTGTAAGTCATTATCATTCCTGAAACTTAAAAATCCGTCTCTGTGTGCATCTGCTTTTATCAATAATGAGGTAATTTAATAGGTAGGTGCTTGTCTGCCTATATCCATTTTTTACACCAAAGTATCTAGCTTGGGAAAACTAAACCTTTAGCATTTAATATCCTACTGACATGTATTTACACTCCACTAAGTGTTGTTTTACATCTCTTTGTTCTGAAATGCCCAGATAAACCTGCTCTGCTCCTACACCTTTATGTCTCAGAATGCTGTCTCTTGAAAGCAAATTATATGGGACACTTCAAATTTGCAAATCTTGGGAAATGAGCAGTATTGGGAGGTTCTGTGGAAACTGTGGTTCTGGAAGGAATTTGAGAAAAAAAAAAATTAACAACCCTGATATAGGAGGAATTTCTACATGACAAGGACAAGACAGATAGTGTGCACAGATGGTGACTGACAGTACCATACTCTCAGGCAGGCTTATTAGTGCAGCCTCAGTGCCATGATAACATAGATGTGCTGCACTGGAGCTGGCTTACACTTGACAACTGAGAGCAAACCGGCAATTGGTCTTACTCATTTGTGCTGACATACTTAAGGAGAGCAGAAATTGTATGTGAGAAGACAGAGGAAAGGAAGCAACAATTATATATACTAAAAAAAAAAAAAAAAAAAGTTATGGTTGTGGCCCTTGAGGTTTTTCCTTTTCCTTTTGTAAGGACTCTTTCCTCTCTCTCAGGGTTGTGAATCACACCACTTTCTGAAGACAAATAGAAGAAAGCAATGTAGTCTGTATTAATACAGTCTCCATGTTATCAATATCCTCCACAGAGCCATTGAAAAAATGGCTATGTTAGTAGAGTTAAATCCTGAGAGTCTCTAGCAGCCAGGTAAACTGGAGACTGTCACCAGGGTTGGCAGGACCTCAGGAAGGGCTGGGGGAACACGGCCCTGGATACTGGGTTGTGCAGCCCTTGTGTTTGGGAGAAGGCAGGAGTTTGCATATGTGGGTGGGATCCACTGCTTCTGCAAAACTCTCTAGCTGAACATCCCTTTATTTAGCGCTACTGCGCCAAAATAACATAGATTCTCTTTATTTGGGCTCAGTATAAAATGAGACTGCAAGATTCTCACCCTGTTTCTGTCTGCTGTCCGCTGTACAAAAAGAACTGGAGGGGCACTTACTGTCCCCTGGTCAGACAACCTGGCACTGTTTTTATGCTGAGGCAGTGCCTGGGCAGGCTTGACAGATGCACAGTGTTTTGAAACAGAGCTTGCATTCTTAAGGCTGCCAACTGCCCAGAACAGAGCTGAATGATGCACTTGGCTGGAACAAAGCTGGGAAGTCCCCGGCTTCCTCTGAGCCACTGGAATTAAAACATAAAGAAAGGCCATGAACATCCTCTGAGTTAAATTCCATTCTAATACCCAATTTCTAACCGCAGCTATTTATCCACGTAGTTCAATGATTTTAGGAGAAGGCGTATGGTATAAGTATCTTCCATTTACAGAACCACTTCACCTGTAGGGAAACTGAGGCAGAGAGCAGTTCATGTCTGTCTAACAAGACCATGAAGTTACAGAACTTGGAGGAAGATCCAGGTCTCTGAAGTCCAAGTCTGCTACTCCAACCACAAGCAGAGCAACATCTAACATACACGAAACCTGTGGGACTCACTACAATTTGCTACAGCTTGAAGAGCTCAACAATTCTCCCCCAAAATAGATATTTTTATGAATACCAAATTTAATCTAAGACATTCTCATCAAACTAAAATGTGACTGTTTCCTCCACCCAAATGTATACATTTCAGAAGGCAAATCAGTCCCAGGTATCTGGGGTTATGGACATATCCCCTCTGCTGAGTCAGTTAGTGACACCCCCCAGTACACTGTGCCCCTGCCCTCTGAACTGTAAATGAATTGGTTGATACAAATCAGGTGCGTCTGTATTTTTTAAGAAGTGTGATAATTTACAGTTTGATTTTGGACATTAAGTTCCAAGGTCAAATTCATTTAGTTTTGAAAGCATTGCAGCAGGTTATACAGCTGATAAACTGGTATTAACATTACAGTTAAAAAGACTTATCTGATGTATTGTTAGCCAGAAGGCACATACAACAAAGACTTTTGTATCTAACCTACATATACAATACAAAGCTCTAGTAAAATATCTTCCTTTCAGAATTTTGCAAAGTGTTGTATTGTAACTTTCATTTAAACTACATTTAAAATTAAAGTGGTGATCTCCAGTGACACATCACCAAGATCGAACAGCCCGAGGCAGGAGTAGCTCCAATAAATTTGGCCTTTTGGGGGAGTTACACCAGAGGACATTTCAAGAGGACGTGCCGTGTCTGAGTGCATTGTGGCTGCACACCTCTGACTTCCAGAAAGCAAGTTTATCAGCAGTTTTAGAATAGATGGACGTAATGGCTGTGTCTGGAGTTTGGAAGAGAAAAATGAGCCAAGGGAGCACTCTCCTCCTGCTCCAGCCCTCCCACGGACTCACTGTAATGACTTTACAGCACATTTGACTTGCCCTGACAACCGACCTGCATTAGAAAAGTGCTTAGAGATCTTCAAATCAAGAAATGTTTCATGACTGAAAATCATTTACTGTGATGAAGCCCCTTAAAAGAGGCTCTGCACGCTGCAGCTGATCTCTAGTATAAGTGTAATTGCACTGAATGTTGTGGAGTATATTTTCATTCCTCTTCTGCATACGTTCAGTATAATTTTCTGAGTAGAACAAACATCTGTGCACAGTTGTGGAGGTGGGATTTTATACTTGTTATAGTGGATGACCTTCAGTTTTTGTTTTTGCCCGGCAGTCTTACAAAATATAAGCCAAGTTACAATGCACCCTCACATTTTGACCTTTTAAAATTTACTTTTAAAAATAGAGGTTATATTTTATGCTGCAAATTATGCCTTTATCTGTTATAATCCCATAAGTCAGATATCACAGTCCCACTTCAATTATGCTAAACTCTTATGTTAATTTTAAATCATGTAACTTAATTCCTGGCAAAGCAGGCTGGTGATTTTCAAAATGTGGTTAATGAGGCAAAGTACAATCTAGATTCTGCTACTGAGAGCATCTGAATCCCTTAGGTTGCTGAAGATGACTATGGAGAGGCTCTTCTTTACAAAAGTCTGGGTTAGATTTTTCAAAAAATGAATTTTTAAGTGCAGTTAGGGGCTATGAAATTTGAAGTTGAGCATACAAAGAAGTTAAATTACTTTCACTAGAGCCATAGAATAACAGTGAGGCTAAAACAATTACACTTCTGTGCACATACATGCTTTAAAGGCCTTAAGTAGTGCACTCCCCTTTCAAATCACAAATGCAAACTGTACCAGATTTTCAGCATGACAATCCAGGGACCTGATGACTATGTCCATGGTTGCATGCAAATCAATGTCATTTTCCCTCTCATTTGCAGAAGCAAACATTTGCTAATAACTTCTTTCACTCCCTTTTGACTCAAACAATAGCTTTATCTAAGCCCAGCTAGTAGATGAAATCTTATGAGACTGTTCAGCTTTTTCAATACAGTTGCATTCCCCTGACCACCAAATCAGATAGGCTGAAAGTTTGTCATTAAAGCAAGCTGAAGGTGAAGCTTAAGTTCTTCAGAGACTTTGTCATTTACTGCTATTTATTTCTCTGAATTAACGAATTCACACAAAACTCATCTATAAATTGGCCTCCATTCTTTCTTAGCATGTTAAACTTTTTTTCCTCATAGTTTTTAGAAAATAATGTTACATGAGCCATTTTTTTTTTTACCTGTAAACAATTAACACACTTCCACAACAAACAAGACAAAGCAAATAAGCAGACATCCAAAGGTTGGTGTACATTCATTTTTTATTTAACATTTCCAGTGGCTTCCCTACAAGGCAAGAGAGATTCATTCAGGATTT